AATTAATTTTTTTAATAAAAAACCTACCAATAATATTGTAGTACATATTTACTTATTTGTTAACATCTCTCATTTACAAATTACAATCCTAAGTTATTTATTATTTCGATAAAATACAAAGCTACCTCAGTGTAGATAATCATTGCTAAATTAACATCTCAAAATTTATTTTTGTTTCGAACGTGAACTCATTAGAAACTTCTTAGGGACATTACATCCATGTGATTTCACATTAGAGAACAATGTGACTAAAATTACCCAAAAGAATGTCTCAAAGAATAAAAGTTTGTAGCTTTAATAAAATGTCTCCTGTTTGAACCCATCTTCCAACCCAAGGATTATCTCCCTGTTTAGCTCATCACCATAGATTCATATGTACCAAAAATATAACCATATAACAACTTCCATGCATTTAATTCACAACTTTATGCTACAATTATTCATATGGAGCACCAGCCACTGATTCACAGCATCAATAAGCCAGAACCATACTTTTAACATACAAATGAACGAATAAGATTGAACATGAACATATGCGCCTATCATATGTACATAGACAAATTCATAGTCCTTTGAGTTTTCTGACGACATTTTACTCACTTTCATAGTCTTCATCATCACCAAAAGTAAAAACAGATGCATCTGCAGCCATTGCCTTGAATTCACTTTCAGAATTGGAAACCTCGACACCAGGGGTCGCCTCACATATAGCATCCCTTTTTGGCTCACTGCTAGTGGCATTAGTCTGTTGTGAGCTTGTGTTTCCCAGGGATAAATGTTCAGTTGCACTTGTCAAACCTACAGCTTTATCTGAATTAGCGTTGGTTTCAGATTTGGAGGTGGTTGGGGAGCTGTTTCCTTCCATGGTTGAAGCTGCCTGATTTTTCTGGCTCCTTGTAGAACCAGGTTCTTCTGCCTCACTGTCTGAGAACACGTCATCTTTGTCATTATTTCTGGACTCTTTATTTTGGTTTGAAGGAACAGAAACTCCGTCAACAGGGGTAGTATCACTGGTGCCTGAGCTTTCATCTAGCTTCTTGGGAGCAGTTTCAATACTAGGAGTTGTTGGAAGAGTACCATTATGATCTACTAAGACAACCTCAACCTGAAAACCTGGTGAAGGCAATTTTCTCTGCATATAATCCATGCCAGAAGAAGATAAGTGGATAGATCAAAGAAAACACACTATTCAGCATGGAAGGTAACTAGGGGAAGGGAGATAAAAAGAAAGAAAATTTCTTAATTAAACAGTTCTGAATATCCCTTCATTGCAATATGTTTAACCTTTTACCTTATCAAACCCATCAAGATCACTGGTGTTAAGAAATGTTCTATTTTCTATCATCGTTGTGTTTAACCAACTGAAAAAATTCAAAAGGTATAAAAACAGATTAGCTGCAATTCAGAAAGCATACAAAGGGCAAAGATAATTGGAGAGAGGAGAGGTCAATCACAAACCAGTAGAAATCTCCTTGACGGTCATGAAAATGGATTTTGAAGTCCCCAGCCAACTCAGTCAGACCAGGTTCACCTGGCAAGGCAAAGACCATTACCTCTTTCTTTGGTGCACTAAACCAAAAATCTTCTGGCTATGGAGGACAATTACATGCACAAAGAACCAAGTTCTTTTAAGATTGGCTTGAAGCTTCAAAAGGAGAAATGTAGAAATTAGTTGATACCAAATGATCAAACAACGTACCGAGAGATCCTTGGTTCGTGGATGCTTCTTGCTAGAAAACAGAACATCTACACACAAAGAAAGCATTTTAATTCACAATGATCCAATTAGTGCCCAAAGGCAAGATTTTCGGACACCATTAAACCCAAGGATGCATCTAAAATTTTACTTTCAATCAAGGGTCAGCAACTAGAGAACTACTGCACAATTACCGCACTAGTGCACTTTCTATTAAAGCCTGCGCACGAGGACTTGTAAGATAAAATAGAAAAATAATGTGCTTTCAAATCAAGCTTATCTAGAGAGTTTAAGACTTCACAAATAGTATAGATTAGAACAATTCAATTTAACACAATGTCAAATATAACAAAGTTGTTACAAGAGATAACATCATATTACACTATGAGCAAGCAACTTTAAGTGAGAATCAAAAGAATAAAGACTTCGTGATGCTGCTACTAGTTGTTCAAAAGTGAAAGTTCAAATTGAATAAAAGCAGATGGAACAAAGCTTGTGACCAACAACACACTTGAACAGATTCAATGTCAGCATCAGGCCATAAGATAAAAGTAGTTCCATAAAAATTCAATTAAAATAAGAGTTTTATTTGTGTGCCTGAAAATACAAATGAATTGCTTCATAGAACAACTTTTAATGGTTGAGGGTTGATGACTGATGTCATCTTCAAGTCTATGCAAAGAGTTTTTCTATGTACCAAAGAAATCTCATGCACGCACCAAGTAAACATCCAAGTATAACAAAAGGCTTCACAAGAAGGAATTTATATGGTATGTCACCAATCAAGAAAATAAGTAAATACTTGCAGTCAAAACAGTCACTAGAGTAACTTAAAGGAAATGGCAACCCATATCCATTGATGGAAAAACAGATGAGGGGAGCAGAGGAGTATGTATGGTATGTGAATGGCATGTACTATCACAGGGACGCATGAAAAACAGTGATACAGAAAGATGCTAGACCATTATGATCAGAGACAGCGATGGAAGGCCTTATCCAGTAAGGGCAATGGTGAAGCCGAAATCCTCTAAGCATGCACCTGCACAGAATGCCATGTCAGCACCAGCCTGAATATGAAAGATGCCACATGAATAACAAGTAACCAGTAAAATACCTGCGCCCAGGCTGGTTTACACCATTAAAGTGTGTCAAGATGCGTTCAAAATACTTGACATATCTCTAAAGAACATCATAAGATAGAAATAAGATAAAATGTGTTGAAGCTTAGCAAAGAAAGAAGGTTGAATGTGATCAGATTACAATCACTCACAATTTGGCTTGGAAGAACAAGACCCTTTCCATCGACACATCTTTTTTGGTTGTAGTAATCAATTGACTCTTCAGCAGTGGGAAAAAACTGCCAGCAGGATAGCAAAAAAGAAAACAAGCTGTGAGACCAAGACGTCTGTGAAGTTGCACAGATTTCATAGGCATATCTTTCAGGAATATTAGATATTACACATATCTAACCTTTAAGTATAGAAGAAGGCTAGAAATCATCAGCCCTGTCCTGGCCATTCCAGCTTTACAGTGCACAACCACTACATTCTCAATATCCTCCTTCAACCAAGAGTATGCACTTTGACAAAATGATATTATCAGTTGAATGGGGGGACAGTTATGATCATCAAATGGGAAGCTAGCAACCTGAAGAGAAAGTTTAAAACATCAGATACATGAAGCCATCCCACATTCATTCAAAGTTCAACTCACAACATAACCATTAGCAAGTATCAGTGTTTTTTTCCCCCCAAAAACTTAGCATGTATCAGGTATCACATTATGGATGGTTATACTGCAAAACAGAGCTTATGTTTTGCTTGAGCTTTGTTAAGGCATCCAACCTAAAAGCAACAGAGAATAGGTGTAAAGGGCCAATTTATTTATAACACCACAAGAACCTACTTGCTCATTGCTTAACAGGTCTCTAGCATAATAGCAATCCAATTCTTGAGTTACGGAAACATGGAAATAAATGAGCTACAAATACAACAAATATCATTCTAATATATGCAAGAAAAATTCTGGCAAAAGAGGTGAGATGGCATGGTGTTGGTGGTTTAAATTTGAAAATCATATTCTGGTCAAAACGTTACTTATTTAGCTGCAATGTAGCAGCACAATTTCAAGCAATTCTTCAATAGCCTAATGATTTTCCTGAGCAGGAAAGTTTTATAACATTCACCTCTTGATTAAAAAGTTTCAATCACAAGATCATTAAGTTTAGGTCAGAAATGACTCAAGCAACTTTCCAGTAACTCACCCCAAAACTTTCCAATTCTGTACATCTAGTATTAGTTTAAGACAGTCTGGCACCAAGCCAGCACTTCAGGTTATCACCAAAATCATAATTACATCGTGGTAATGTAACATCACCGTACTTCCATCCTAAACTAAACTTATGCTAATTAATTTTTCATCTTGAAAGTGTATTTATCATCAAGCACACCTTAACCAGAAGCCAAAATCAGTATTGATTATTAAATTATTTAAAAATCAGGGCAAAAGTTGACTCGAAAGTAGCCATTGAGCTCTCCTAATTGATTTCCATTAAACACAATTTACTGCATCTCAAATTGAAACTCCTACTTGGTTTACCAGAAGAAAGATATGCCGTTTGACTTTATATTAATTTTTGTATTTTCTCTGGTAGTCCAACAGTTTTTAATGCAAGAAGGTTAAAAAAAAAATTAAAATAAATAAAATAAAAAAAGGAAACAAGACATCAGATACTTAGATTACAGGAGTAATATTCATTTTTGGACATAATTAAAAAATGGTGCGACAGGCAATTAGGAAGAACTACTGTAATAAGAAAAGGTATTGCTGATTTCATTATTTTAGGCTGCAGTGTTTTTATTTTTTTATTTTTTATGTATTGTTTTATAATGCAGAACCTACCACACTAAGAAAGCTCCGCAAAAGCTAAATGCCAATTATGCCATCCACTGCCAAAACCATGCAATAGAGTAGCCACAAATACAACTCTAGCAAGTCTTGCTGGCAGAAAATAAAAAATGTCTTTTGAACAGATTATAAACCATTAATACATACCTTTCCTTCAAATAAAGAAGCATCATACAGCCTCTCTGAACAAAGGTTGTATACCTTGTACTTGCCCTACACGTAAAAAGTTGATAGCAATATTAGGAGAGGATAGTTCATCCATTGCAGTGGGACTTCAGTGATACTCCTGTCAATATTATAACATACGAAAAATATAGAACAAACAATCAAAATAACAATAGTTAAGAAGACCTAGATAATGATAATCCATATGCATTCATAGTGATACTAAAAGGTAAATCACACTGCAGGAAACAGCTGAAAGTAACGTTGGTTAAGGGCTTGCCTATCTTGCATGTGTAATTACCAAATATAGTTTGAATCTGTGTGATAAGAAGATATACACTATGCAACAGATAGCATATAATGTTTGTCACATCTGATATGCAGGTCTCACAATTTTCATTTCCAAATATTAAATGCAATTCGCAAACTATTAATACAACAAACAATCCAAAGAGATTCCACAACAGATACTCCCAAGCCACTAACAATCACAACCCACTATATAGAGATTAACAGTTTCCAATTTGAACACCATGCCTCAACAGCATGCTCTAATAATTCATACAAGTGTGCAAAAAATAGAGCAAGTAGCAGGCTGGACTTTTTTTTTTTTTTTCCCTTGATTTGGGTGGGGAAGGGGTGAGACAAGTGGTAACAGGAAAAAGTCATCATTTAAATGGTGCATTTCTTGACTAAGATTAATAAAAGCAGGTAGCATTTTTGAGCCAAGTCTGATTCATACCTGGTAAATACTCTTAAGATATATATATCCAAAAAAATAATAATAATAAACAACAAGAAAATTTTATTTCTATGAAGATAAAACAAACTATATAACAATATTCAGTTGAGATTAGTTGCTCTGCCAAAACTCCATAACCAATGGCATTCTCAAGGTGGTAATAGAACATAAGAAACACAACAGAACAGGTTACTCAATCTAATGCATAAACCGCATCTAATTTCCATTTGCATTGAATGTTCATGGTAAGTATGCCATCCACATCATCTATGATCAAGTGGAAAATGTTGAAAGGAAAAATATTAACTTAAAAACTAATAGCAAAGTCCAAACAAGTAAACATGAATAAGAGTAAAAAAAAGAAAAAAACTCAGTCCCAAGCAGCAAGGTGAAACAGACAACATGAAAGAAATGATTGTGTTTGTGGTCCTAAAATAAAGTCGAGCCTACTTTTACAACAATCAATTCAAGAAGGTATTATCCTGCCCAGCCATACTAACAGCTACTTAATCAAACATCATGGAATAATCAAACAGAAAGAAATGTCTATGGCACAAGGAGAAAGTTGCTTATCAATAAATACATTTACTACCTTGTGATGGGTTTCAAAAAACTTGATCACTTCTTCCATGTGATTTCGATAGAACCCCTGCATAATCACATTTCTTGATAGTTTAATGCTGGTGGATCTCATTAAAGAGTAAGGTGAAGTCAAGTAAAAATTAGTTAGCTTGCCTCAACATATCCAAAAAACCCAGAGCTCTTATCACCAGCTGGAAACCCCATAGCAATTATGTTCTCTGTGATGTATGTCATATCTAAATCAAACCCTCCTTCCTGAAGACAAGACAAATTGGATTATACGCACGGATTATCAAACTAGTGAAAAATAACCATTACAGGTGAGGAAATATTACATGTCAAGAGACTAAAAAAACAAAGGAATTGCACCCTTAAATTCTATGAAACTTCAAATATATCTAAATATAGAAAAAGAAAAGTAGCACTTCCTCTTTCTTCCTGACAGATGGCCTGCTGGAAGCAGATAGGGAAGTAAAACTTCCATCAGTATTTATTAATGTTACAAGTTGAAATCAAAGCCGTAATGCTAGAAGAAACCTCATGCACTATCTTTCACAATTCAGAACACAAATTCCATAAACATCTTCAATGGGTTGGAGTTAAGAAAAATTAAAAAAGTATGACCACCTAACACTATAATCCAAAAAAAAAAAGTACATTTGATTAAATAATACTGGCCACACTTAATACAGTGTTGATTTATGTTAGAAGTATTACTCCCTCCATTCCTATTTATCTATCTGCTTTGACTTTTGTGCATGCAACTTTAGGTAATTCTTTTATGTAGCATATGAATGACAATTAGGAAATTTTTTTTGATCAAATGAAACTACTCAACAAGATCTACTATGCTACATAAAAGTATTGCCTAAAGATACGTGCATGAGTTAGTTAAATGCACGTATAAATAGGATCAGAGGGAGTGCTAATATTACAACACAGATGCTAGGATGCTTGCTTAGACAGTAAGTTTTAAACTGATTAATTTAACTTACATGTTATTATAAACTGTATAAACATCCATCCATTTCCAAAACCTATAGAGTGTATGAAAAGCTAAGCAGTGTTGTTAAAATAGGTGCAAGGTGGTGGCATTCTGCCTGCCTTGGCCTATAGGTGGTGAGCCAGGCACTTTGCAATGCCCAGAACACCTAGGTGAAGCCTAGGCACATTTTTCTTTTTCAAATTTTTTTCTGATTTTTGAATTAAAAGGGGGAAATTGCTAGGCATGCCTAGCCATGCCTAGAGGCCACCTAGGCACTAGGTGGTGAGGAAACGCATACCATTGCCTAGCACTTTCAGCAACATTGAAACTAAGGAGCAGCTAGTTCATCTGAATTTATCAGAAAAAGGGTAATCCCAAATTTCTAATGCAGATATTTCCCATAACATTTAAGATTTTAATAATAGAAACTTTTTATTCAAAGTTAATTCAATATCCCTAATGATTAATTATTGTTTTTTTGGCTTTAATACTCTAACTGAAACTTGAAAGAACAACTGAATGCAATGCAAGACGCAAGCACTGCTTAGGGCTAACCTAATTCCCCAATACAACACTAATCTAGAAAAGCAACATGAGAAAGCAGTTGAAGAATCCAGACTTCGTAGATAAAGAGTAAGAATATAAAGTTAAAGCAAAATGAACGCAGCAATATAAGTCTCACCTGGTATCTCCGTTTATTCTGTGAGACAACATGTCGAGCCTTGACCTGTACAGCTTTCACTGCATTTTTGGAAGAGTCAACTAAACCTTTAGTAACTGTTCCAATAAAACCAGGTTGTGCTCTTGGTGAAACTCCCTCAGAGCTGTCGTTAGTTGGAGGAGATTTGGGGGACAAGCGCCGTCCAAACCCACTAGTAAATCGTGCAAACGTTGATTTCCCAGCATTTGCTGTCTGAGAGTCATCCTGAGACACTGACAATGAGTGTGGAATCTTCAAGTTTTTGGCCCATGATGATATCCCTGAAGGAGAAAGCTTTGATGATGCATCAGGTGCTGAATTGTCTACCCCAGAGTTTGTAGAAGTAGGAGGTGAACTCCCATCCATTTTGATGCTCCAGAGGTCCTAACAACAACTGCTTATCAAACTTCAAAGAAATGCATGAAAGATTCTGCTTTGATGAATACCCAATTACAGACTAACAGCTGCAAATTAAAACTAGGATGATCGACACCCATAAAAGCAAAATGATATTATTTTTAAATGGGAAGAAAATTCAAGTCTAGAAAATGGAAGAAACAGAGAGGATTGAGATCGAAAGCCAGGTCTCACCTCGAATCGAGACTGCGAAAAAAGTGTTTCAGAGGATTATACCGAACTAGGGTTTCAGGATTTAAAAGATAGTATATCAAACTGGAAAGGGGTTTTAGTCTTGGGGACAGTACACCTTAGTCGAATCAAACCACCGGAGCCGGAGATCTAGCAGAAACTGCGTACCGGAATTCTGATTAGATGGTTCAGTCTTCAGATGCGCTTCCCAGATGTTAAAATA